GCCATCCGTGTATTGAAGAATAGTGTGATTTGTATTTCTAGAAGTATTGTCTATGATTTGTATGTTTGCAACCTTGCTTTCAGTCGCTGTTGGCTCATTGTTCTTGGAGATTTCCCATTTTCTCTGCTATGCGAGGAATGAAAATATAATTGAAGTAGGTTTACTCACAATATTGATACTTCACATAGAGTTCATATGCCCCCCTCCCCCCAACACACACACACACACACACTCTCTCCTTTCCTCAACTTTATTGTCCTCTTTCTTTCCGTGTGTGTTACGAATAGAAACAACGCATTCTCAAGATATAAATGGATCTAATTTTCAAATTCCAATGCAATGAATACATGATTCTTATTTCTGGGTTATGTATTTCACTGGTGGCTTTTCTCCCAACGAATAGTCAAATTTTTCTTTACATGGAACTTAACTATTTTCAAGCCTTTCCCTATGTACTAATTTTTTATGTAGGCAAACCAAAAAGTAGTTGTGAAAATGGTGGCGAACATCGTATGTAATTTCAGTTCAATTTAGTGTGAACAACTACTCTTGAGGAAAATCATAAACAATAAATCTCATGGATTTGTAATAGCAATGATATTTTGAATAAATGCATTGATATTTTAATACGGAAATGAGAGGTAGCTAGCCCGTGGTGTTGAACAGGTTGATGAACCGTTGAGGCACACATACTCCACATCTAGGTGACTAATATTTATATTTAATATATTTTACAACTATGCAATAATACAATAAATCATATTTTTATTAGTGTTATTTATTATATTAGCATCAAACATTCATGTTCCTTACAACCAAATCCCACTACAATATGTTGCAAAACATTCCCGCAACAACGTGCAGGGTATCATATAGTTTATCTATCCTTTTACCCGGGAGGGATTGACAACCCCTCTTACATGTTGGGTTGCAAGTATTTGTTCTTTGTGTGCAGGTACCATTTACATAGTGTTTTGTGGTTCTCATACTGGTTCGATAACCTTGATCTCATCACTGAGGGGAATACCTACCGTAGCTGTGCTGCATCATCCCCTCCTCATTGGGGAGATACCGACGTAGTTCAACCCGCATCAATATTTCGCATAGATTCCAAGCATAGCATAGCAAATAATTTATTTGATTCCATAGGAGTCTCCCCTTTTGAGACAATCGCTGACGCACAAAATAAGCATGCTCATCTGGTGATTTTTCATCAACTAAACTAGTTGGGTTTTCAGCATGAGCACAAACGGATCAAAGATGATCCAAGTAGAAAACTTTAAGTGGATCCATAAGTCTTTACTTTCTATTTTTGTGTGATGACATGATTATTGCAAGCAAACTAACAAAGATTTTTTTTGCGTTCTGATTTTTTAGGGAAGTGGAGGGAGATGAAAAAGAGAGGCAAGCAAAACGATAAATAAAAAAGCAAATAGAAAGTATAACAAGTAGATGATAGTTTGTATGTAGGACCCTAGCAAGAATTTGATGATGTCGCCCCAACAATGGTGCCATAAATTCTTCCTCCTACTTGCAAACTATGTTGGGATTTCCTCGAAGAGGAGGGGTGAAACAGTACAATTGAGATAAGTATTTCCCTCAGTGAGAATCAAGGTTATCGAACCAATAGGAGAACCATGCAAATTCCTGTCTTTGGTACCTACACACACAAAAGCAAATACTTGCACCCAATGCGGGCAAGAGGGTTGTCAATCCCCTTGAACTTGTTACTTGCAAGGATTAATCCTGATAGTGATAGATAGATAAAAAGAAAAGTAAAATAAAAAGAGTAAAATGCAGCAAAGTATTTTTGTTTTTTTAGCAATAGATAAACGTAGACCTGGGGGCCATAGTTTTCACTAGAGGCCTCTCTCTCAAACACATAACATACAGTGGGTAAACAAATTACTGTTGGGCAATTGGTAGAAAAGCGCATAGTTATGACATATTCATGGCAATGATCATATATATAGGCATCACATCCGTGAAAAGTAGACCGACTCCTGCCTGCATCTACTACTATTACTCCACCAATCAACCGCTATCCAACATGCATCTATGGTATTAAGTTCATGACAAACAGAGTAACACCTTAAGCAAGACGACATGATGCAGACAAAGTAAACCCAATCCATATGAATAAACCCCATCGTTTTACCCTTAATGGCAACAACACTATACATGCCTCGCTACCCCTTCTGTCACTGGGTGAGGACACCATAAGATTGAACCCATTACAAAGCACCTCTCCCACTGAAGATAAATCAATCTAGTTGGCCAAACCAAAAGGATAGATCAGAGAGAAATACAAAGCTATAACAATCATGCATAATAAAGTTCAGAAAAGACTCAATTACTTTCAATGAATAATCTGATCATAAACCTACAATTCATCGAATCTCAATAAACACACCGCAAAAGAAGATTACATCGGATAGAACTCCAAGAAGATCGAGGAGAACATTGTATTGAAGATCAAAGAGAGAGAAGAAGCCATCTGACTACTAGTTATGGATCCGTAGGTCCGTAGTGAAGTACTCACGCATCATCGGAAGGCAACGATGATGATGTAGAAGCCCTTCGTAATCGATTCCCTCTCTGGTAGAGTACCGGAAAAGGCCTCCAGATGGGACGGCGGAAAAAGTGTTTCGGGTGGATCTCTGTTGGTTTGGGAGTATATGTGAATTTATAGAGGTGGAATTAGGTCAAACGAAGTTGCGTGGGGCCCACGAGCTCAGGGGGCGCGCCCTGTGAGCTCGTCGCTCTCTCGTAGCTCTTCTGGTCTCCTCCCGAACCTTCTAGGGCCCCTTCTGGTCCAGAAAAAATCACCATAAAGTTTCATCGTGTTTGGACTTCGTTTGGTATTGATTTTCTGAAAAGCCAAAAACAAGCAGAAAACAACAACTGGCACTGGACAGTGGGTTAATAGGTTAGTCCGAAAAAGTGATATAAAATAGCATAAAAATGCATATAAAGCATCCAAGATTGATAGTATAATAGCATGAAACAATAAAAAAGTATATATATGTTAGAGACGTATGAGCGAGCAACGGGGAAGCTAGGATGCCGCTTTCCTTCTTGAAGGCATCACCGAGGAGATCGATAACCCTCCTGCCTTTGGAATCCTTCTTCGGGTGAAAACATAGACCCGCCTTGTCGGATCGGCAATGGGGTGGCCTTGGCGACCTTACTTCGCTGGAAACATTGTTTTGAGAGAGGTTGTTGGTGGGCGCACCTGGTTGGCAGTGGTCTGGATGGTCGGGCTTCGGCTGTGGAGCATGTGACAGCGCGACCGTTCGTAGTTAGCCGTGGAGGGCAGAAGAATCACACTTGACATGCGGGGAGCGTCAGGCAAGCCTTGTTCTTCCTCCTCTCGGAATCGAAGTAGCACATGTGTGCCTCTCTTTAGATATGTATTCTCTCCAATGTTGATGAGGTTGAAGAACACGCTTGTGGCGGACATGCCGATGCGGGTGCTCCTGTGTTGTTGCAACGAATTCCAATCACCAGGTCGCAGGTGCGATGGATGATGTACTAGCGACCTAGTTTTTTTTGGCATTTTTGCATGTGCTGCGATGTGCTCTGCTCCGTCATGTTCAGTTTTTTTGGGCATTTTTGCATGTCTTATGGTGCTAGCGACCTAGTTTAACTAGGTGTAGTTGCCTTGTTCAGGTATTCGCCCGGTTTGCCTCTAATAGACCGACCAAACAGTTCTTGCCATCGACGTACTTCTTAAGGGAATCATAACATCTCTCCTCCTAATAACTTAAAGAAAGAAAGATATGCCACATATGAACAATATTGTGCAAATTGTGGTGCATCCAACAATTTTTTGGATTTATTTAGGTGTGGATGATTGGGAAAAAAATTCATGCCTATGCATTGTAGCCAAGTTTAGCTGGATAATGCAAATCTAGCCAAAATATTAGCCTGTAATTTTTTTAATGGGGTAGAGGCCGCTGGTATTCTCGAAAAAAAGAATCAGAGGCAGACTCTACTGGTCTTAGGCCCTGTTTGGTTCATAAGTCGTAGGACTTCTTTTAGTCCCAACTAAAAAGTCATTAGTCCCTAAAAAGTCCTTGCACGTTTGGTTCCTGGGACTAAACATGGACTTGACCATGTTACAACTAAAAGTCCCAAAAAGACTCTTCCTCAGGGTCTTTTTTCATAAGTCTCAAATGCCCACTTTAAGTCTCTATAAGTCCTCCCTGTTTGGTTTAGATGGGACTAAAAGAGACTTTTTTAAATCCCTACACCAATAAGTGCGTGTAAACAAACACCCTCTTAGGCTAGTCATAGTCGGAGTAACTTAGCAAGTAACATAACACACTTTGAGAATTTTTTGCTTATGTGGCATGTAGTTAATGAGAAGTGGTAACATAATATATTACTGTAACATAGTGTTTTTCAAAACAAGATGAGCCTACAAGCTAATTAATGAAGTTCTTTATGACACTATAGTATGCTACTTTACATTATGAAGATAGTAACTTAGACTAGTGTCATATGCATGACACTAGTATAAGTTACTCCCCACTGTAACCAGCCTAGCTTATTCATCTTCTGTGCACACAGCATTACTTGGTCGGTCGGTCCCTACTCGTTCATCATTAACCATCGATTTGATTCAGATCTGATTGAACGAACACACAATAGACAGAAGAGCAGATACTTCTTTCGTGGTTGGAAAATACTCTATTGATTCGAATGATGTTTTCTGCTTCCTTTTTCCGTTAATAAAAAAGTTATACTACACAGTACTACTAGCAGCGTACGGCTGCTGCGCGGTGTTTGGTGCGCACCCAGCGGATCCCTGCCCCGCCCTGCTGCCGCCGCGCTTCTCTCGGAGCGCTGCCTCCCACCTCAGTGACCTCACTCTGCCACACTCGCCTCTCCTGCTTCCTCCTTCCACCAGTCCACATTCACACACGCTCTCCCTCCCTCCCCCACCTCCGTTCCACGGCTTGCGTTCCGTTCGCTGGCAGGCTAGCAGATCTCCGATGGGGTGCTTCCAGTCCAAGCCGGCGGGGAAGCCGCTGCCGCCCGACGCCGACGCCGCCCTCCCGCCCGACGACCCCGCAGATCCCGGTAAGCAAGCAAGCAGGCAGGCGGGCGGGCCCGCCGCCATTGCCGCCGCCTCCTAAACCCTAACCCCCCAGCGAATGCGCGTGTCCGGAACGAATCTAATCTGGCCTGCTCCCCTCTTGCTCCACGGAAGAGGCGGCGAACGGGGCGGACGGGGCGGGCGCGGACGGCGACGACAAGGACGGGGCGAAGCGGGCGGTGCCGGTCTTCAGGGAGTTCGGGCTCGCCGAGCTGCGGGCCGCCACCAAGGGCTTCAGCGCCGACCTCATCGTCTCCGAGAGCGGCGAGAAGGCGCCCAACGTCGTCTACCGGGGCCGCCTCGACGGCGGCCGCCTCATCGCCGTCAAGCGCTTCTCCCGCCTCTCCTGGCCCGACCCGCAGCAGTTCCTTGTACGCGCCCCTGCGCCCCAATGCAAATGCCTTGTCTGTTTGTGCGTATCTGCTCCGAGGATCCCGTTCCGGATCTCACGTGTTTGGTTGCTGCAGGCGGAAGCGGCCGGCGTGGGGAAGGTGCGGCACAAGCGCCTCGTCAACCTCATTGGCTGCTGCGCCGAGGGTGACGAGAGGCTGCTCGTCGCGGAGTACATGCCCAACGACACATTGTCCAAGCACCTCTTCCACTGTACGTGTCACTGTCTATTCATATCCATGTCCAGTTAGCTATAGTTGTTGTTGATACGGGTCTGACGTACTACTACTTGATCCGTGGAGGTTGGATCAAAACACGATCCCCCTCTGCATTGATTGAAGAGCTTAATGCACCTCTGCCATTACCACATTTGTCTCTTGCTGTCTCGTGCATAAACAGATGTGGTTAATTTGCCAGGACCATCTGGGCGTGTCTGCATTTTCTCTCTTGCTATATTTCTTTTTGGATTTTACCTCAATCATCATAATCATGACTTAATTTCAAATATGAAGATGCTTACCATACATACCATGTGGTGCTATATTTGTTTTGTTGTTTGACTGGAGTTTGGTCTGCTCTTTGCAGGGGATAAGCAGCCGTTGCCATGGGAAATGCGGTTGAGGGTTGCACATTACATTGCACAAGCTCTCGATCATTGCAATGCAGAGAACAGGAAAATCTATCATGACTTGAATGCCTACAGAGTACTTTTTGATGAGGTACGCATGGCTTTGCCTGTCTGGTTCGATAGGTACTTGACAAGCAAGGATCACCTTACTGATGGAAATCTAGTTTGGCTACTTCTTTGCAGCTGACTTTTGCATCATAGCTGCTGTTACTCCTTACATGAACATGAAAATTTTCTCATGAAACTTTTTATGAAATTTGATTGACCTCTGTAGCTACTGAGCAAATTCTCATTGTCATGAACAACATATGTTTGCCATCAGGAAGGTGATCCTCGCTTGTCGAGTTTTGGACTAATGAAGAACAGCCGCGACGGAAAAAGTTATAGCACTAACCTGGCTTACACTCCGCCAGAGTTCCTACGAACGGGTACGCATGACCACATGATCCCTCCACATTCATAATTAGCTAATACCATTGGTGTTATCCTTTACAATTTACAAGTGAACATGTGGACTTATTTTAAGCTCATTAGATATAAGATTAGCACTCTTATTCTGTCCACAGAGATAATTTGTGAACCTGTATTGAATTTATCTTTTAAAAACACTTCTGTGTTCCCTCAGTATCAGATGATAGGTATGTTGTGGGTCGTTGTGATAAACTGATCGCATTTTCTCTTTTTACTCCTGAACTGCTCAGCACGTGTTCTTTGGACTGCACTGAATAATTTGTGCTTGACTCCTTAATGGCAGGCAGAGTCATCGCTGAGAGTGTGATATATAGCTACGGAACAGTTCTGTTGGATCTTTTGAGTGGGAAACACATTCCTCCTAGTCATGTATGCTTCATTTCAATCTTCGCTTTTCTTGTTATCAGTTCCTTGCATCGTGGATAGTACCGTACTGTTATTTAATTATCACGCTGGAAGCTGAAATGAGCTTTGAACCATTAGCTTGAATCTGCTAAGGACTAGATTTCTTGATGGATAATAAGCAGGGCACATAACCATCTCGTCTGGAATGTCTTAGGGTGTGTTTGGTTTGAGCCGAAGCCAACCCTACCAAAATTTTGCTTAGGGTTTTGGTTGTCCATGTTTTTTTTTGGCCAATGTTTGCCAGAAAAGTGAACAGGAGTTGTTTAGAGGGCACAGATATACCAAAATATTGGTAACCATCCAAACAAGAGCCAAAATTTTGGCTAAGACTAAAAGATGGTATGGTTGGTTTTGTTCACCATCCAAACATACCCTTATACTTGAAGCCAAGTGCAGCTCAAAGAACATAACAGCATTATGCTAGGTTGTTGTATTGCCATCTATCACTGTTGCCATGCCAGTGAATTTCTCACGTCATTTGTTTTGAATTACAGGCACTTGATTTGATAAGGGGAAAGAACATACTGCTATTGATGGATTCCTCCTTAGAAGGGCAATATGCTAATGAAGATGCTTCAAAATTAGTCGATCTTGCATCAAAATGCTTGCAGTTTGAAGCTAGGGACAGACCCAATATAAAGTATTTATTGTCCTCTGTTGGGCCTCTTCAGAAGCAAAAGGAGGTAAGCAGCTTCAACCATCTTTTGGATTATTAAAGTTCTGTGTTGCCTACAGTAACACAATTCACTTATTTTATCAATCATAATTTAGGTGGCATCGCATGTGTTGATGGGCATTACAAAAACCGCGTCGGTCTTACCAACTATTCTTTCTCCACTTGGAAAGGCATGTGCCGGAATGGACCTTACAGCAGTACATGATATATTGCTCAAAACAGGTTACAAAGACGATGAAGGTGCAGAAAATGAGGTAACATACAATTCATGTATCATTCCTCATTTATGATACACCTGCTGTTAGGTCATCATTTATGTGGTGAACTTTCCTTCTGTCATGATTTGTGTCAACTTGGCATTTTTCTAGTCCTCTCTCAAATTAACTGCTAACTTGTTCTTGAAGGTCCTATACTTGATTTGTTTTGGCATATGGCTTCCTGCACCTTTCCTATGCTAGTTTACAATTACATATGATTAGCTATGTTGGCATTGCATGATTAAATTGAAAAAAAATGCTTTGATGAAATTAGCATATACAGTGGGGATCATGCATCTAAGATATCTTCTCTTCTGTATCGAGAGAAGCTGACTTTCATCAATAACTGATAATTCTTTCTTGTCTGTAGTTAAAAAGGCAATCATTTTCAACTGGATAACCGAGTATTTTGTCAGGCTTAAACTTAGGATGCTGTTGTGCACATTTGCTTATTAAACTCCTTTTTGGCTATTTTTCTTGTGCACAGAATATGTCATATGCTTTTTTTTCCCTCTCTTTTCTTATTCCCATTTGCTCAAGTATTTAGAAATTATGAAATCTCATTCATTTGCTCTGTTAAGATAAGCTAGTTTTATTTGGTGCATGTTTATGCTGCTGTAAAAACTGAAGTTGTCCTTTCAAGAATGGACTCAGCAAGTGCAAGAGATGCTGAACACAAAGAAGTTTGGTGATATTGCATTTCGAGATAAGGATTTCAAGACTGCAATTGACTACTATTCAAAGGTAACATCACTTAAATTCTCTGTTCTTATTTTTAACTAGGATATCCAAGTTCATGAATTTTGCAATGTCAATATGCTGCTGCTTCATGATTGTTTGTGCCAAATAGCTACTAATTGAATAATATATTTTCCATAAGCAGTTTGGCCCTCAATATGTTACCTCAAGTGCTGCCAGTAAAGCAGTCACTAAGGAATTCTACTTTCTAACTGATACACAATGTTACCAAAGCTTTCAATTTGGTTTGTGGTCTTCATTTTTTATTTTGTTTGTGATCTTCATTTTTTTGTCCTGTAACATGACAAGCTAATTTGCATGTTGCAGCTAGTTGGAATGATGTCAGTACCTTCAGCTACAGTTTTCGCCAGGCGGAGTTTTTCCTACCTGATGAACGGTCAGTCGGAGCTTGCGCTACGCGACGCAATGCAGGCCCAGGTCTGCATGCCCGAATGGCCTACTGCATTCTACCTCCAAGCCCTAGCTCTCTCAAAGCTTGGAATGGAAACCGATGCACAGGACATGCTCAACGACGGAGCCACCTTTGAGGCCAAGAAGCAAAACAGCTGGCGTGGTTAGGGACGAAGCCACGGCTTCCTCCAAACTGTTGTTGCCTTTCAACAGAAAAGGGTACAATGATGAGTGTTCACTGGGACGTCTGATGAACTGCTAGGAGTGGGATTGAAATGCACTGTTTTATCGTGCGAATTCGCGGTCCCTGCCCCCAAATGTCGATTAACGACGCTGTCGTGACCTGGAAGATCTAAATGGGCAGAAGGCTTATGAGTTGCACCGCATGGTGGCAAGATTTCGCTGATCATTGCGTGGCGGTGCTCCTGTGGGAGAGAAGATTGTAATTAAGGTGACGATCTCTTAACGGTTTCTCCTTTTCTTTGTTTATGCTGGATGGCTGGACGATTGTGTGGGAACAGAGGGGGTTTGTTCCTTGTGATTAGCTGGAGAGAAAATAAACCAGAGCCATCTGAATTCCGTTTGATTCGACCATGTTTCCTCGTCTGCTGCTTCTCTATTGAATGAATTGGTGGTGATTTGCATCAAAATAATGTTAGATCATTTTTAGCCCTGCGTCCTGTTTTCTGGACAGACAGTGCCTTGCTTGTCTTTGATTGTTTTGGCCACGTCAGATGATATTCTGTCAGCGTGTCCTCTGGCATCTGAACCACGATGTATGAACTTGCATTAACCAATGTTTTGTTAGTTGAAGAAAGAACTTAGAGCAACTCCAGCAGATGCCGCAAACCTCGCCGGCCTGCATAAATCTGGCAGTTTTAGCCTTTTTTTTTGCATTTTGGGCCTGAGCAGAAACGCTATATCTAGCCTGGCCTGTAATTTTTTTACCGGTAATGCTACACCTACGAACAGGTTAACGTAATGGTTACGTAATTAGCCAAATGGCATAGTATGATTGGGGTTAGGGAAAATGAGGGGCCCACCCCACTTAAAATCAGGGAGAGGGGGTTATGTTGAGGGGAAAGTTATGTAACTCCTTCGTAAGTCTTTGTAGGTGTAGGATTTTTTTTTTTTACAAGAGGCCTGCATATTGCCCCTCCGCAGCTATATCTACGGGTCGGGGGCGTTTTAGGGTTTGCTTGCTCCATATCCTCGATCGCAATCCTCCCGCCTTTGTCGTCTCCTTTGGTCTCTTCGGCGAGAGATTCTACATGATCCCATCCATTTCTTGCTAATCCATATAACTGGAGGGGCACGCGGGTGTGGGGGCCGAGGCGGATTGCCGCTGCGCAAGCACTCTTGGCACGATGCGGAGGCCGGCAGCTCTAGCCGGCCTGCCATCGAGCCATCAGCCATGGTGATTGAAGCAGGCGCTAGAACGCGGAGGGCTCTCCCGCAACGATGGCCAGAGCACGTGGGCTCGCTTCTTCGAGCTCAGTGATGCTCTTTGGTAACACACCAAGAGGTGCCGTGAGGCGGAGGAGGAGCTCCTCGTCGTGCTGAAGAGCCGGAGAAGATGGCGTCGCCGAACAGCTCACGGCGGCGAAGGAAGAGCACACGTTTGCTAATTCGTGCCGGAGGTCGCCGAGGCCTTATACCTAGGCGTCGAGTCATGAGCTGGCAATCCCTAGCTCTAATAAATTAGTTTGCTATGTTTTTATGCTATGGAATGTAGATGAACTCCGGTGGTGAGCTTTGTAGCGCGAAAATCGTTTTAAATTTCCAGTATCATTTAGCATATCTGTTCTGCTGTGCCATGCGCGATACCGTAAATTTGTTTCAGAGCACACCTTAAAGGACATTTGCGGTACATGAAGTTGCTCTTAGGTAGGTCTTGTTGTCATCTCTGAAACTCTAAAAAACTGTGTGGCATGGAAGTTTTTTGCTTGGTAAACATACCTTTGATAGTTCTGCACCCCGTGACTCAATCAAAACCTAAGTTGGATGCCGTCACCGTCTCCTCCTCCAAAAAAGCTAGGGTTTGTGCCTCTGGCTGTCGCCGCCGCTGGTCCGCCTCGTCTCCGGTGGTTCTAAGGCCATGGGGCGTGGTGGATACTGGCAAGGCCGGCGGGAGGACTTCATTGTTAGTCGTTTCTTTGAGTTTTGTTAGGGTCTGTGTCCTACTTAAGAAAGCGGGGATTGCGGCGGCTCCCTGAAGATGGAATAAAGGTCTCCCCGCTTAAACCCTGTTCCGGTAATGCGTCTAGCATCGTTGGTGGGTGTGTGGAGGTGTGTCTTCAGCGGATCTATCCACGGTGAATTTGCTCGGATCTGGTTGTTGTTCGTCTATGTTCCTGTGTCTTAAGGTTGGATCCTTTTGATCTACGTTATTCTTCATCAACGACGGTTGCTATTCTAGTGCGCTGGTCCTATGAGGCCTTAGCATGACGACTTTTCGACTGCCTACTACAACAAGTTGTGTCCGACTCCAGCGAGGGAGGGGCGATGACGGTGGCGCGCATTCGACTCGCTTCAATGCTTGTAGTCATCGCTAGGTGCTCCATGGATCTGGATATAATTTTTGCTATTTTTGATGTTCGTTGTACAACCATAATAATTGAAGATAAATAGATCGGAAGTTTTTTTTTAAGAAACATATCTTCAAATTCTTTTAACTCATAATAAAGAAAAGCTATACTTTGTGAAAAATGCTCAACTCTAGTCTAGGGGGGAAAGGGTGAAAGGTACCCCATGGGAAAAATCTGTAGTTTGTCCTCACTTGGCACTTGCATAGAAAAAGAACAAAAAAATGATCAGAAGAAATAAAGTGAATGCGATATGTGGGTCCGGTGAATACTGCGTAGTGCGTACAGCCAAAAGAGGGGTTGAACTTCGTACTAGTGTTCTTTTTCTTAAAAAAGGTGATTTTATTATCTCAAAATGTAACATTTAACGGATACAAAACATTAAAAGTATCATGTGGTCACTGGATAATTAGGATGCACACAGTCAAACATTAGTAGTCTGACAAACAGAAAGATAAAATACCAACAATTCAGCAACAGTAGAGTCTATAGACCGATACTATGCCTATGTCGAAATAGATGGTGGATCGATCCGAAGATTATGCTATCATTCATGTTGGGTACAAACCTCTGTAACCACCTGCTTCAATAGCGTACACATCGCCTTAAATAGCGATTGGTACTTCGCTCGTTGTAGCGTACACCACACATGAAATGAATGCGTACAACAAAAAATAACCTACAAAAAAGAAGCATTTTTAACATTAAAAACAACATCATTTCTCGTAGAAGTTTCGTAGTGTAACAGTGGAAAGTCCCGTGATAAGTTAAAAGTGGTTAGAAAGAGGATGAGACACTCGACCGTTCTGGATCTTTTCCCTACTTCATCCCTGAACTTGACTATATAGGCTGATTTGTTCTTCTTGAAAACCACAGCAATAGAAAGTCATTAGATATTGAACACTACATAATTGTGTTTGTCTGTAAAAAGTTACAGAACTATATAGTACTCCCTTTTTAAAAAACAATCCTTCGTCCAGAAATATTTGTAACATCCATTTCTTCGACAAGTATTTTCGGACAGAGAGAATATAAAACCTTATATTTCTTTACAGAGGGAGTAGTTTCTATTTTTTTTAAAAAAAATTCATGGTTATTTGATTGTGCATGAAAAAAAACAATTCTTCCTTAGGTTGGAGTGTAAATTTTTTTCTATGAAATCTAGCACAAACTAATTGTGAGGAAAAATTCCTATGAATTCTGATATATGAATGAAACAACCCATGTAGAAAAAAGAATTCCTAGTAAGAGTTAGAGTCCTTCAAAATTTGTTTGAAAATCTTTTGAACCAAACAAGCCTGACAATCATTATGCTCTAGAATATGAAAGGACAGATTCATGGGACAAGCCTACCGCCGAGGCACCCAATGCATAGAGGCTGAATGAATAAGATCAGGAAAGAATTGTCATGGAATAGCATGACAACAAAAATTTTCACTTCTTTTTCAGATTTCAAAAGGCCCAGAATAAAGGCTAGCATTCGGGAAAGAGCACTACGCGATTAAAATCTGTGAGCAAAATGGAGCGCGCCGTCCTCTAGCCTCTTTTCTCTTTAAGATGGGGTGATTCTTGGAATGACGGTGGCCACATTTCCTCGTCCAGCACAGGGCATATGTGCTTCCTGTCAATCATTCCTGGCTCTTTTCTTTTCTCCCCCTTCGGTTGCACTTTAGTCAGACTTCATGCCATGCTAAGTCACCGCCACGCCATCAGATGCACACCACTCTGGTCCAAGCCGTTTCTGTTTTGCCTTCTACAGGAAACTGATATTCGCATCCTCCCTGTCAGGAGTCAGGATTCCTTTGCAGTTATTGTAACAATTTTGTGCAGAAATTCCATGCATATATACAGTACCATGGATGTGTTTGCCGGACCTGATTACAGCGCCATCCAAAACCGTTACCTGCGTTTGGTTTGGTTGATTGAGTCGGGCTGGAATCAGAAGCTGTGTAATCCAATTACAGTGCTATACAGAATCGATCACACCCGCTCCTGGTTGCTAGGGCATGTGCAGTGATTGATAAGAAAGTCGTATCAATTTTCGACGATAATTTAGAGATGATAAATTTTTCACGATAGTTCTGCTTCTAATATATTTTCCACGATAGTTCTGCTTCTAAATACAAAACGTTTTTATCTTAGTAAAGAGATAGTATCTCTTAATCTTTATCTCTAGTAATCAAATACTATGATTAAATGTATGGTGAGAGGTATTGTTGCTAAGAGATCATCTCTTAATCTTTATTTCTATTTTCACCAAAGAAAAAGAGAATGCAAAGTTTTTTTCTTTCAAGTTTCTCTTTCATCCACCTCATCATTTTCCCATGTAGTCCTTCTCCTTTTTTTTTGACATGCATGTAGTCCTTCTCTCTGTTCCTGTTGCGTGAGTCAACCAGACAAAACTAGCAAAAGCCCCGTTACACCCACAATGTAGTGTAACCTCATTACGTTACCATTTGCTTTCAACGTAACCCTAACCAAACATGTCCCTCCGTTCCGAATTACTAGTTCGGAACGGAGGGAGTACATAGGAATCACAGGGTCATGAATTGTTAGAATAGATGATGATGATGATGATGTATCCTCCATTTCTAAAGAAGGTTATATATTGTATAATAGCAATGGGGAATTTTACATCGCCCGAAATGGGAGCACAACATATTGCTGCGTAAATTGCAGCAGCAGCAGCAGCTAGTACAGAGACTGAATCACAGTAAAGGAAGAGATGGAAGTGTCGTGCCACAGCGAGAGAAGACAGTGCTAAAATAGGCCGTCACTCCGAGTACAACTGTACAAGACACACACACACACACACGCGCGTAGCAATACTACGTACTCTTACATATCATACGGTATACGACCCCGTACACTGGCTGAAAATATACCGCCGTTGCCGAGAGCAATTAGGTTTCTGGAATTATTTCCTCTGTTGCCGAAATTACTACGATCTTTTCTTGGGTGTGAAACGAGAGCTTCAGTAGACCACCATGTTGTTCTCGTCCAAGGACGAGAAAAACGCCGCCAGGTCGTCGCTCGCCTCCCTGCACAGCATCGGGGCGGCGGCGTTCGGTGCCGCCGGGTTCCACAGCTCCGCCGCGCCTGCAGAAGGACATGCATATGCATTGAGAACTCGCGCGAAATGGCGACGGGGGATTCAAGAATTGATCGAGCTCGTGAGGCAGAGCATCAGTGCGCGTACCGGCGGTGGTGGAGAAGGTGCTGTTGGCGCAGGGCGGCAAGGTGTCCCATCTGAGCTCGTGGTCCGAGACCACGCCCATGTCGCCGAAGAAGGGCATGTGCGACTGCGTCGTCTCGCCTGCGCCGGCGAAGTCGCCGTCGATGAAGAATGTGGCGGCGGCGTCCTGCTGCGGGAACCCCAGAGGCGTGCCCATGCCGGACACCACCTCCCCTCCTCCTCCGTACAGGGGAGAGGGGGAGCTGTGGAGCTGGAAGGCGTTGCCGACGATGTCGAGGCGCGGCGGGCTGGGCGTGAGGGAGCCCAGCTGCTGGTCCGTGGTGACCAGCGACGAGCTGCTCCCGACCTTGCTCATCTGCCGGTGGCCCGGCCTCGCCTTGGCGGCCGCGTCGCCGTGGAGGAGGCCGGCCTCGGTGCGCTTGATGACGCGGCAGAGCGCGTAGGCGCCGATGAAGTTGGAGGCGCCGTGGAGGAGGTCCTGGCAGAGGCGGTACTCGTGCATCACCCAGTCGGTGCGCTCGCCGCCGGGGGCCCGGCCCTTGTAGAACACCAGCGTCTTCCTGACGCCGCACACGGCGCCGCCGTCGCACGACACCTTGCGGTCCTTGCCGGTGGCCTTCCAGTAGCCCGTTGTGGTGGCCCGGTTGGTGCGCGACCCGTTGGGGTACTTGCGGTCCCGCGGCACGAAGAAGAACCACTCCAGGTCCCTCTTGGGCAGGAACGACTTCTCTGAAGAATCATCAAACGCACACACCTCTGAATCTCAGCATTTTCATTCACATTGGCCACTGTACAAACTAGCTATGTACAGTTGAGTGCAGAGAAGGTTATGCCAGAGTTAACTGTCTGCTGATTACTGTGATTGGCTGCTGAGAATATTCCAAAATTGAGAGGGGTGGCTGTGGTGATTTGGAGAACGAGTTTCTTTGGGAAAAAGGCGGGAAAATGACTCATCTGCAACCGGCCTAAGTTATGGAGAATATATGAGGCGAGATGCCTCTTTCACAAAGTCCCTTTTCATGTATGCTGGCTAGCTAGCAAGCAATTTGGAGGGCAGATTCTTTTTCTAAAAGAATTATGCGATTCGAGGATGATGGCAAATTATTACTTGTCAAATAAATTGTCTATTCAGGGGAGAAGAAAGGTGAACACCATGCGGTTTGACATAGGTAAAATTCAACTCTCTCGAACACTTTTTTTGTCGGTCGAAGCATGAATGAATGTGTGGCATGTTGAAATACAGAATGAATCGGATGGAAGATGCATGTGTATGTATGTACCTGGCAACTCCCATGGCTCGCACTTGTAGAGGTCGATGACGGGGATGACCTCGAGCTCGATCTTGAGGTTGTCGACCCTCCGCTTGAGGTAGTAGCCGACGAGCTCGTCGTCGGTGGGGTGGAACCTGAAGCCGGGCGGCAGGGTCATGGTGCCCATGCTCGTTGCTTGCTTGCTTGTGTGAAACTTGCAGCCAATTCAAATATCTTGGGCAGTTCGATCCGACAGTAACCCAGCCCAACCCAACCCAGGAGGAGCAGATGATGCTACTTAAGCTTGCGCTGTGACTAGCTAATAACTGTGTGTATGTATGTATATATGTAGCGTCAACTGCCGATCACAAATACTCGAGGCAGGACTAGAGATCTAGAATCCAGGAGGCGGAATGGAGTCAGGTGGAGAGGAGGCCGTATCGGTTGAAGATTTGGAAGATCCAGAAGTAGAAGCTCTTGTTGGCGATGAATACGGTGTAGCAGCCTCCAGGATTCACGCTCATTATCCTCCGGTCACGAGCTCCAGAGCAGAGGCGTCCGCGGCGGGCGGGAGGAAGGCGAAGACGGCTGGAGAGGACTGAGGAGGAGGGAGAGGAGGTTGGGGAGGGATGAAGTGACGGGCATGGTGCCGTTTATATAGAGGACGAGGAGGAGAAGCCAACGGGAAAAGGGTGGAGAGGCGGTGAGAAGGTGGTCGGGCGCACGCCATTCCAAAACCCCCGCCGGCGCTTGTCGCGCGCCCAAGCCGCCGCCAAACCGTCTCGCAATCCGCACTTCTTTTCCCGTTTCGTTTTCTTTCGCGGCTTGCTTGGGCAATTCACCACTAACCAAACGTGCCTGGCCGTTCCGTTCCGTGTGCAGGGCGTATCGTGGCGACGCGATGATCAGGATGCGTTATTCATTTCTTTCTGAACCCTGAGGCGCAGCGGCGGCGGCGGCGGGCGGAGGTTCGAAAGTGCAGTTTTGTTTTCATATGGGCTTTGGTTTTGAATATGGGTTCATTCCGCTGTCACCAAGATCCGTGCTTAGCCCCCTTGGCTTAAGTTGATTAATTAAGTTTATCATCCTCGGCCGCGTACCGGTTTTCGGAATTCAGGTAGGCTCCCAGGACTTACCGCCACTCTGTTTTCCAGCTCATGTGTTCATACTCGTGTCGTCGTCGTGAGCGCGTCTGTTTTACACGAATCCCATCTCCGCAGGAACATTACACGAGCTTCTTCTACTTCCGGTCCTAGAGTTAATTAGTGGTGATGCAGGATTCTCTTGCCCAGTGACATGCGACATATACTAGAGTTAATTAGCGGCCTCGATTGACCTTCACACACATGAGTGGATTCTGAATTGACGTGCGTTATGCACGACCGATTCCCTCGTTTCAGTAGTACTCTACTACTGTAGTAGTAGTAGTGCAGGGGCGAGGCGTTGTGTTGACGCATCGATGCAAGTCGCCTGCAAAAACGGTTTTTTGTTTGTTTGTTGTGCTGCACTGGATCATCGGAAAGTTCACCGAAGGTGCCGGCTGCGTTTTGCGCGCAAATCGCATCAGGACAACACGAGGTGCATAATCAGCGAGAATTGATTCAGTGTCTGAATTAAAAAGTGGCGGAACACGTCACGGTCTCTCTTTGGGACCTGCTCTTTGGTTTGCAGCGCACTGTAAAGCGCCATACATGACATGACAAGCGGCTGCTCCTATCAGAATGAATGAAAGTGAATGTGAATCCTAGTCAGAATGATTCTGGAACCAGCAGCCAGCTAAACACACAGTTTGGCTTTAGGTGTATCGATTGCTCGTATGTATGTGTAAAATTAGCACACATGTTGCAGTTGGAGCCAGCCTTTTCAGACGGCTTCGGGGGCCAGTCATTTTTCCCAGATGACCTGAATGTTGAAACTTAACCTAGTTCTTCCGACAGACCTACTACCCGTGCACTGAACATGTACAAAATCAGTAACGCGGGAACGGGCCTACAGGGCATTTTGGCATCTTGACTAGCTGTATATACATACATAGATATCTCCACGTGCATCGACCGATCGACACGTTCCTCGACATGTTTGAACACATAGGTTTTCGACGTGGCACCGTTACCGCGAGCTCACTAGCATCAAGGTCTGAGCAACTCCAGATTAAGCAAGGCCCTAAACATGGATTTTGAAACAATTTTAATTGATAAAGCGACTGTCCTTGGCTTATTTTTAGAGAAAAAAAAAAGGAAGACCATGATGTTGCTATATAGGGAAGAGGCCCTGGCTCTGTAGTGACATCAAGCTAAGGTTTTTTGAACTGTGACATCAAGCTAAGTCAAGTGCTGCACTTGCTTTGGCTTTGCAACCCTTTTTTTCGTAGCTGAGCTGCACTTTTTTCGGTCTTGTCTCTCTCTGAAAACCACTGGCCACTGGGAGACAAATATATGTAGTACTTCTCAGCCACAGGATCTACCAGAGAAGTTGAGTGCTTCGGTCAATATAGCCTAGGGGTCACCATCTTATCACTACTTTGAGGCAGGCAGGGGTTGGTGCTCAACTACTTGCTTACCACCAGTCCCTTGACCAAAGTGCCAGTGCTTAATTTCACTTGGAGGTTCAAAGATTATGAAGGTAGTAACAAATTGCTTCATGGTGAGCACTGAGTACTCCATGACGGCAACAGGTTGTTTAAGCACACTAAACGACAAGCCCTCAGCACTCGAAGCAACAATTTTCTTGGTAGGGAACTAGGGATCCAAGTGACCATGGCGCACTTTGGAACCGTGCTGGAGAGCTGCATGTATTTCATCAGAAAGAAGAGTACAACGCCAAAGATGACAAGACCAAAAGCAAAAAGTAACCCGAATCTTTGGCGTGTTTCTTTGTGTGTGTGTCGCTTGTATTAATGTTCAAGCAAAAATACTAACGCGGGTCGTTGCGGGTCAGCGTGGCTCGGCCCAACCCGCTTGCATCCCTAATTTTCATTCGACATTGTGTGCATGATTTTTTTCTGGAAAAGGAGGATGATCCCGGCCTCTGCATCAGAACGATGCAATGCAACCATATTATTAAATGATAAATCTGAAAGGTCCATGAAGAAGTACAAGTTCACTCGAAGTTCCAAAACAAAGGAAGAAAAAAAATCTGCCACAACCGGTGAAAATAGGACTAGATGACTAAACACCTAGCCTATTACTGAACCGCGATCCAAACCGGTTGTAAATATCCCAAACCACCATCTCCCATCGGGTACACCCAATATCCAAAGGCTCCCTGTTTTTCTCAGGAGTGAGTAACGACCACGTACGGATCCATGTTGTGGTCAGGTAAATAACATTGTGTACATGGTGTGTAGCCAGCAGAGAAAATTTGACTAAGAACCTGTGTTAAAGTAAAGCTAACTTCAAATGCTCCCAACTACAACGTCTCCACAAACCAAAGGCACAACAACCCCCATAACGAAACAAGTGCTACCTTTGTACTAGCACTTTGCACTGCACGCACGCACGCATGATTAGCTTGGGATCATTAGCTTAATATATCTCGGACCGGAGCACTGTCAAGACCGGATGACAGCAGCCAAAACCATCTCCAGGTATGAACGCCCTTAGGGGCCCATCCGAAGACCAGAGTTGCTTTAGTGAAGCATACGTAGCCGTAGGGCCTGCCTAGTTCTGAACTGCTTGACTTGGGAGGCGAATGGTTGCACGACCAGGATCACTTTGGCATCGTCTGCCCCATCACTGCCTCATCAGCATGCCACTAACGTCGGCTCCTTTTAATCTGATAATCCCCACTTATTTTCCAGCCATCTCCTCATGATCTTATATAGTTGTCGAGGCATTGTTGATTGTCCCTGTTGGCCCTGATCTGACAGGGCACCGGCACCGGAATTCCAAGGTTGTATGAACACGGCTTTTCTTATCTCATCGTGAATCGCCCAATGATTTTATGTGTTGCTAGTCCAGGTTAAAGCAGATGGTATAGGGTCAGGCATGCATAGCATCGGCTCTGGGAAACGGGAATGCAAGTACAGAAAGCTGAGGTGGACTCTCACGCGTGTGATTGGACGTCAAAGTGATCAGATGACGCATGGATCATCTTATCTTGACCGGCGATGCCTTTACTGCTGCACCCGAAGAATGGAGAACCTCCCTCCCCGTGTTGGCGTCTGCATGCAATGGTGCCCTAAGTAAAGTACGGCAGGGTCATAGGCTGCAATGCATGCACGCTCAATCATCACCCCAAAGTTGGATCAGTAGCTTCTCATTTAACTAACTAGGAGCAGTCTTGATCGCATTGTAAACTATGGCCATGTCATGCATATATGAAGGATAAACAGTGCCCTTAGTTAATGTTTATGCATTAGAATATTTTGATTCCACTGCTGATTGTTTATGCAGAGAAACACTTTAGGTGGCCAGCTTCAGCTTGAAGTGTTCACCTTGGATAATGCATGTTGTGTCTAAGGTAGCTTCCTTCATGCATCCTCCGGGATCCATCTCAGTGAGAATGCCATATACTCCCTCTGTTCTAAAATAGATGACCCAACTTTGTACTAATTTTATACTAACTTTAGTACAAAGTTGAGTCATTTATTTTGGAACGGAGGGAGTAGTGCTTAATAAACTGAACAAAGGCCGCAAGTTAATAGAAAATTGGCATAGGCATGGAACAATTTAAAGGCCTGGCCGGCTATACATGTAGTGTTAATTATTCGGCAAAGCAGCCAGAGGGGAGAAGAGAACACTACTTCTCCTATATGTGCTACACATATACCAAGGATCAATCAGCACTAACAGAATAGTTAACTACGCCAAAGAGAATCTCCATAATGCAATGGGGCACAAAGCATCCATGTACAAGATATACCTTTCCTGGCCCCTACTGGCCGGAATCCTCCTGGCAGTATTAAGAAACTAGCAAAGAAATGCGCGTCACCATAGTATATAACTTAGCTGTGCACTAGGGTTCGCTTATTTGCTTCCCCCTCAAGATACCAACTGAGAGAGATTCAAAGCTTCGTGAGGGCCACTCAGGGAAAGAATCGCTAGCAAGGCGGTTTTCAGCGCACGCTTTCCATGGTGCTAGTTATTTTACTAGGTGAAATTTTAAAAACGCGCAACTTGTCTTTCACTCGTTTACCGCTAACTAGTCTCACAAGTCACAAGTATGTTTGTCATATTTCATCATCAG